GGCGATGTCAGGGTCCGGGAGGGTGTGCATCATGAGAGCCTCTCTGAGGAGGTGACATGTGAGCTGACCTGAAGGGGACGCTGCAGGCAAGGCAAAGCACTGAGCACCATGGTGGGAGGGGGAGGGGAGGGCTGTCCCAGGCAAGAGGAGCCCCTGGAGTTTGCTCCTTCCTTCCCCTTCCTCCAGGGTCTGGCTGGGCCTCCCACTCAGACTGCCTTCCCTCTCTCCACTCCCACAGAGGAAATAGAGGGCTTCCGCCTCAGCACCCAGAGGTCCAGTGACAGCACAGATGATGTCCTCCAAGTGGACATCAACGGTGAGTCCACGGCCCTGGCCCGGCCCAGCCCAGCTTGTCATCTGCGTGTGTGACTGCGTGTGCTTGTGTGTCTGTGTCCCCTCCAACCCCACAAACTACTCTATGGCACTGATCCATCCGCCTGAGAGTCTTCAACCACACAGGGATCAGTTCTGGCCGCCAAGGGGACGATGCCAACACTGAGAGAATGACCCGGCCCTTCTTGCTCCTCTGGGCCACCCCCCTGGAACGGGAGCAGCTGCTACACAGCGCCCAGCTCGGCTGAGCCTGGACACCAACTACTGCTTCAGGTGAACATGGCGGTCTCTGACTGTGGCCCTCCGGGCTGTGCCCCTGGCTGAGCCACACTCAGCTGGGCTTCTCTTTAGCCTGAGGGTCGGGACCTGGCAGCTGGGTTGGGACCTGGGAGGCCTAGAACGTGGGGCCCGGGCCCCTTCCTGGTGCAGTGCAGCAGTTGGAGGCTGTCAGGATGTGGGCACGGGAACTGGAATTGGGTGTGGCAAGGCTGCCTTGCTGGGGGCTTCTGAGTGTCTGGGGCTGGAGTTCTAGAATGCTGGGTGAGCATCTGTGACTGGGAGCAAGGCCGCTGGAGTCGAGGAGGCTGCCTGCTGGGAGCCTAGAGGGAGGAGACTGTGCGTTTTGGGTTCCCACACCCCGGGCAGATCGGAGCCCCCAGTGCTGGCCCCTGGCGTTGGGACATTAGGCTCCCAGGGCTGGGACCTGGGCTGAAATGGGAGCCCTGGCTGGGTGTGGAGGAAGTGGGGATGCTGACTGCCCAGGACAGGGTGCGGGCTCAGCCAGGGAGTGCGGGGCCTGGCAGGCGGCAGGCTGGGCCTCGTGTGCTGGCTGCGCGTGGCGGGAGGCTGCATGGGAGGGTGGAACGTGGGGTCCTGGAAGGCCTGGCGCCTGGCGAGCTGGGACGCGGGAAGGGCGTCTTGGAGCTGGAGCGCGGGGACCTCACAGCCCAGTCAGCTGGGGCCCAGGTCCCTGGAGTTCACTTAGAATGTGAGGGCCGAGCGGGGAGTCGCAGCCCACCCCTCCCCCAGGAGAATCTGTGGTGCTGTCCGGGCTTTCTTTCATGGCGTCCCCGGCTGGACCTCGCCCCTTGTCCAGGGTTCTTCCAGCACCAGATCTCACACCTGGGCTAGGACCCCCAGGGAGTGAGGGGCTGCGGTCCTGAGCGCCCTGGACTCTGGGAGGCAAAACAGGAGCTCAGCGGCGAGGGCGCTGCCCGGAGTCAGACCTGGCCCTGCTCAGGGCTCTGGGCCACGGGGACGCAGGCTGCGGAATCCAGACCTGGGAGCCCGATCCAGGGGACACCCCCAACACACACGTACCAGGGAATCCAGAAAGTCAAAGGGAATTGGAATTAAAAACCTGTAATTATTTTGGTGCAAATGGTTTCTGATATCTATGCATAGTATTTTTAGAATATGAATTTTCTGTGTAGTATGAAAACAAGTTTGTACCCAGAAATTACTTGACCCTAAACAAATCATACAGAAATAGGTACTGGAGCAGGTAAACCCGCTGCCTGCGATGCCAACATCCCACACGCACCCTCTGACTACTGACCGCTCTACTTCTTCTCCAGCTCCCTGCTGATGGGCTAGGGAAGCAGCAGCAGATGGCCCAACGGAGACCCGGATGAAGCTCCTGGCTCAGGCTTTGCCTAGCTCTGACCGTCACCGCCACTTGTGAACCAGCGAATGGAGGACCTTTCTCTGTCTCTCTCCCCCTCCCTTGTTTATGTAAATCTCTCAAAAAAAAAAACTTAAAAATTAATAAATGACTAAGCAAATTCTCTATTATAGTTATATAGATATATAAATGTATGTATATTATAAATATATTAATCATCTGACTATACATAAATACAAATTTTGTGTATTACATAGACACTATATCTAATAGCTAATATATAGAAATTGATATTTCTATCGACACTGACACATTGTATAAACATAAAGTCTTCATACTTATGTATTATGAAATATATAGATATTATTTACTTAGATATTATAAATATAAATGAACATATAACTAGAAACATATGGATACATATAATAGATGTATTAGAAATAGACATACACGACTTACAGAAACTATACACACACATATGTGGAAACACTATACACATGCTACACACACAGATGTTACATAGAAACACACGCACATACTACACACGTTACATAGAACACACACACACACACCACACACGTTACATAGAACACACGCACACACTACACACATGTTACATAGAACACGCACACACTGCACACACATGTTACCCGTGAGCGGGTGTCTCACACGGAGAAGCGCGGCTCCGGGAACTCTAGGAGGAGCCCAGGAGAGGCACCGCCCCTCTCAAGGCCTAGCCCGCGGCCGGCTCTTTCTCCGTCCAAACGTCCCAGCAGAGGACGGAGGAGCCCGCCGGGGACGCCTGGACGCCCACGGGACCCCGCAGAGCCCCTCTCGCGGCTCCGGCCGGGCTCCGCAGCCCCCGCTCCCCCAGCCCAGCCCAGCCCAGCCCGCGCGGGCGCCCCGGGCTCTGGAACCTTCCGCGGGGCAGGAAGTGGGCGGGCACAGGGTCACGTGGGCGGCGGCGCCTGCGCAGAGCGCCCGCACCCCAGCGTCGCCAAGCAAAGCTCTGGGAGGCCTGCGGGGAGCTCCAGGCCTCCCGGATGTCGGAGGTTGGCTTGGGCC